CTCCAGTCCTTGATCAGTGCACTCAAAATGCAGAAATTAGTCGTTTAAATAAGTCTAAGTGTTTCCACACCCACAGAAGGCAAAGTTAGAATAGCAAGAAATTAGTCAAATGCTAGCTTTTCTTTTTTAAGTGCAGCGAAGCATTAGTTAGTAATCATAGCAGCCAACCAGCATCTGATTGGTCACAGGCCTCACACATTGATCAAATTAATATATGATGCAGCAGTTAAAGAGGAACATAAAATGCAAGAGTATATAAAAATTGGTGTATCTACCATGCAAGAGATGCAGCAGTGACAAAGACAGGTTGCCAAGAAGATGTACCCTGGTGTTTATTTAAGTGAAAGATACACATACAGGCTTATTTTGACTACCTGAGCCAAGTTTCGACAAATTCCCCAGCCTGCTGGAACTTGCTTGGAAGGTCAGATTTTTTCTGACATCACCAAACACGTGACACAAGAACCCATACTGTGTTTATTGTGCACTATGTTTTACATATAGATACATTCAAATCGCATGAAGATTCACCCACCAGTAACTGATGTACTTGCACTGCCATGTCAGCAGCCCTCCTTTGCATATTTCCTCTTTACATATTCTTGGTTCAGCTTTGGTCTCCAGCTTCCTCTTTTGCTTGCTTCTGCATGTGCTGAGTGGGTGAGTTTCAGGGCCAGAGTAAGATGGTTTTTAACAGCGTGCACTGTAACACATAGAAACCTCTTTTAGTATCATTATGAGGTGTAAGAAGCTCCGCAAAAAAGAAGCTGTAGCACATACTGCGGAAAAGCACGGCCAGCACCTCCCATTAAGGATGAAAAATAATGAAATGCATTTTAAAGAGACCATATAGAAGGAAAGATAACACTGAAACGTTGCACTTTTATCAGTAAAACTTGGGGATAATATGAAATGTTGTTGTAGTGGAGTCAGTATAGCCAAAGGGTGGAATAAGCCAACTGGAATTTAATCAATAACATTTCCTGGTGACTATGAAAATAGTGTTGTCATTCTAATATTAAAAAAAATGAGTGAGAGTGTTATTTTAAGAGTGTTATTATAAATGCAAACAAAATTGCTCATGCTTTTGGCATAACTTCAATCATTATTATTATTGTTTTTTTAAACGTCAGATTTATGGCGGCTCATTTAACTAGAACTAACAGCACCCAGATTATGTTGAAAAAACAGGTTGGACAAGCAAAACGGACTGGAGTGGGGTAGCTGTGTTTGAAGCAAAGTTAGAAAAAACTAGGTTACTGGGGCATAAAGAGAAATGACAAAAAAGGAAGTGGTTGAAGTGTTGCATTGTGTGTTTCAGAAAACCCTTTGTCAGTGAATGAAGCTTGCCTGAAGCTCTAAGGTACTGAATTTCTGTGAAAATGATCTGCTTGAATGTACAGTCATGGTAAAAAAGAAAAAAGAAAAGTACACCCTCTGTCTGTTCTACGATCATACATGTATGGACATTAAAAAATATTGTCCTTTTCAGGGCTTGGAATTAGGTAATTGTAACCGTTGATGAACGGAACACATGACATATTACACTGTGTCATTATTTGCTTAACAAATACTGAGCCAAAATGCAGAAGCAGTGTTTGTAAATATAGTACGCTCCATGATTTAATAGCTTGTAGGACCACCCTTAGCACCAGTTTAGAACTTTATTAATATTTCTCATGTCATTGTGGACAAATTTTGTCTCACTCTTCTTTACAATGTTGCTTCAGATCATTGAGGTTTGTGGGCACTTGTTTATTCGCGTGCTTCTTAAACTGGACCGGACCATTACGACACCATGATTATTTTCTCTTTTTTTTGTCATTCTGTTATAGATTTACTTCTGTGCTTGGGATTGTTGCCCTGTTACATCACCCAGTTTCAGCCAAGCTTTAGTTGTCGTACAAATGGCTTCATATTTGACTTTAGAATACTTTGGTATACAAAGAAGTTCGTATTTGACTCAGTGACTGCAAGGTGCCCAGGTTCTGTGGTTGCAAAACAACCCAAAATCATTGGCCCTCCACCATCATGTTTGACAGTTGGCTTTATCTAAATATGGCTTTGTGCATTATGGCCAAACATCTCCACTTTACTCTCTTGCTGCCAATCTGCTGCCAAGCTCATTTTAGAGAGGAGCGGCTTTCACCTTGCAACCTTTCCAAATAAGCCATAGATGTCCTGTTGTTTTCTCATTGGACTTTCATTATTAACATGCTAAGTGAGGCCTATAGAGATGTAGCTCTTGGGCTTTTCCATTTTCTCTGAGCATTGCATATTACCTAACCTTTGGGAGAATTTTCTGGGACTTCCAATCCTGGGAACGACTGGCAACTATGTTGGACATTTTCCACTTTTGAATAATCTTTCTCACTGTAGGCTTTAATATTCAGAAATAACCTTATAGCTCTCCCCTGGTTGATGCGCAGCACAACAACTGCTTATCTAAAATCATGGCTGATGTTCTTACTTCCTCTTACAACACATACTAACAGTGTAATGTGTCATATTTTGTTGTTCATCTGAGGTTATAGTAACTTAATTTTAAGACCTGCTGAGGACCAGATTTGTTTTTGTTATGTCCTGATATGTAAAACCTTAGAATTGACAGAGTTTGTGCTTTCTTTGTGCTTTCTTTGTTCCATGACTGTAGCTCTCCTGCGACTGCCTGCACTCTGAACAACAATTAAAGAGTTTCAAATGAGTCTAATTCTTTAGATAATGGATTCCAGGCAAACTGGATTCCAGGTTTTACAATGCAAACCAAAGTGACTTCCTGTGAAATGACTGCAATGGTAAAAAAGGAGAAGCTTTCAGTTCTCTCCAGGTTATGCTTGAAAAGCATAAACTGTCCTGGAATTAGAGACATGATAGTTAAAGGTGAAAAGACTATTTTGACATTTTGTGATATGCTTACTGATTTCCTTGACTAAATCTGAGATAACTGAGAACTCTCTCATGACTATACATTAAATATTTATGTGAAGCTTTTCTTCTCTTCTTGCAATTTCCACAAATTCAAATTTTAGCAGAATGTCATCCATATTCGCCAACACCAGTCAGATAGTAATAAAAAGGAAAAGTGACATTAAGCCTGTTCAGCCTGTTGTGTAGGGGGAAAGCAGACTGGAGTATCTCGGTCATGCATGTTCTCCATAAACTCTCTGTGTGCCTCAAGTTATAATAACATACTCTGGGATGTAATATATTAGGATGCACACATTAGGATATTAAGCTTTAATTAGGCTTGCTTGACGGCTCAGCCAACTCACTGCAAGAAAGCAAATATGCATACATGCCCAACTGCTCCTTTAAATGAGATTAGCTGCACGCTACAGCACAGTGGGGTCAGGATGCTACCTGAGCTTATAGAAATGTTTAATGTTTATCGATGGGCAGCATTGTCACTTCACAGGAACTGCAGATGCCTTTGTTGTGGCCTGTAACTTTGTGGAACAAAATATGTTCTCCTATGAAGACACATTTTGCATTTTGAGTGTCACAGGCTGTATTTTTACGGACACTTCCTGCATTCAGGAGTGCTTTTGTATACTTTATCTGCTTTAGTCTGTACTTGGCTAACCTGTTTTTGCAACCTCATAATTCTTTCTTTGCCTAAAGGAAAGTGCAGGATAAAAATGTGCAGCATGCACACACAGGCAAAGGAACACCACCTCACACACACGCACCAGGAACGAAGACCAGGCTTGAAAAAATTGATCTGCGTTGAGACACTCGTTCTTGTTTCGCTGGCACATTAAGCTACAGGTGGCCATGTGAAAACTCCAAAAACAAAAACAAAACAACAAGTTAATGGCTCACTTTTTGCTGTAGCCTTGCCACTGCTTCCAGTAACAAACACAGGTAGAAGTCACAGGAGTGAACACATCCTTTTCAGCTCTTTACCAGCTGATTTTCCTGTACCAGCAACACAGAGCGAATCATCCTGCTGTTCACCGTGGAAACTTTAAGTTCAGATGAAAGCTGTTGGTGATGACTGTGAAAATTAGTCAGCAGTTTTCACAATCCACAATCAGATTTTTGTGTGTGGCATTTTCAAAACAGTTGCTTTAGTAAAATAACATTTGCATGACAATCTGGAGGAAGCAGCAAGGGTGAAGTGTGTTTCCAAATTAGTGAAGTGAAATTTTGTTTTAAAAAAAATTAAAGAAAACGTGAGCATAGAGTGGGCCTGCTGCTGAAGTGAAAGCCTCTTTCTTTCAGGGTAAATTAGTCAATATTTAGGAAAAGATGGTGGGGGCGTCATTGAACAGCCTCAACAATTATCGGTCTAAATAAAAAATGGCAAAGCACGTGTTAAAAACAAATGAAATAAAAGCACGATGAGCGGCGCGTGTTGGTTCACACTGCTGCTGTCTGGTGGGTCATTATGCACGGGTTTGCCTCCGGTAGCCGTTGTAAATTACCTCAGCAGGAAATAAAACCATTTCCGGCTTGAGTTGTCAAAATAAGATCGAAGCGTCTGCTGAATAACCTTTTCTGTTTGCGTGACAATGAACAAAAAATGAGCCTAAAACCGAAACTGTCTTTGCTTACTTTTCAAAACAGACAATTATTAATTATTAGTCAACTATTAACTTAAAAATGAAAAAAAGTCAAATCAATCTCGGATCCATTTCTCCCTACATTACAAAATAATTAACACGTGTTTCTTATTTCTAATGACTGAATAATACATCCTACTTTATATGATAGCTTTTCTATTAGAATGGCACTGAGAGCTTGAGAGCTTACAGTACTATTGCTGAAGCTGCTCCAGTAGATCCACGAAGGGGCACAGCTGGATCTCCATCACTTCAACATATATGCTTCAAGTACCATCAAGAAAACAGACTCTGGTGGGGGCTGCATTGCATGAGTTTGTACTCAACAACAGCCCTTTCACGACTGAACACGCTTGCAGGAGGGATATAGGAAGTTTGTGAATTTATGAGGAGTAATGTATTTTATTTTGAAAAGCGGCCTTATACAGCTCCAGCATCCTCGCTCGCAGCAGTGAATTGATGCGGCTGTGCTGCGTGAAAGCCCAGCAGTTGCTTTGACGAGTCATCGCTGGAGAAGATCCCAGAGCAGACGGATCCGCTGTCTGATGGCTTGAAAACGGGGAATCACTGTGGACCGCAGCGGATTTATAGCATCGTACGAGCCCGGAGGAGCGACGCGGAGGCGGCACGAGCGGACCGGGTGCCGACACGGGTCGGGATACATTACCTTTAAGTGAGGCTGTTATCGTTTTTTTTGTTTTTGGAAGCCTTACACAGACAACACGGAGAGAAAAGTAGTACCACAGCCTCCGCGACAGCAGCGGGCGAACTTGTCATCTCTGTCCTGTGGGAGGTGTCTGTCTGTCGGCTTGGGGCTCTCTGCACGCACCGCTCGTCTCGTCACTGATTGGACCTTTTTAATTTGAGGGATATTTGTTGTGTTTTGTACAAATCGCTCTTATTTAGTGTTTTCCCTCAACCAACTGTGGCTTTAATGTGACGCACCACACTGACACTTGTGCTGTGTGTAGAGCAGACCCTCTGCAGAGGAGTAAAAGGCTCCCTAATCAAGTTTTTCCCCCCTTCACATTTCTGCGGCAACAGCACAGACCACACCGATGTCATAGGTAATGCTTCGCCTTTGTTTTTGCATCGCAATGCTTTCTGCAGAGTCGTTGCTCGCGTCTTTGTTTTTGCCTGTAGACAAACTTGTCGACACAGCCTCGTTTTCTGGAGTTCCTCAACAGGCAGCAGTGAAGCCGTCACTGCACGGGGTTGCTCTGCAGCTTTAATTAAGCTCACTGCATTTCCACTCTGCTCAGTGGCAAGGCTTCTCACGAGTGCAGCACTGCTGTTGTCATACATCATACCACAGCAATATAAAGACCACTGAGCGAAAGCCGGCCAAGGTTTATTTGCTCATGTGCACACATCAGGCTTTTATGATCCGCTCGTAACGGCTGGAGTTCATTTACTGATGATGTGATAACAAAGCCTTTATGTATCAATAATAATGTTGGTGCTTCTACCTGTTTTAATGCTGCCCTTATCATTCTACTTGAAAAATAAGTTTAGATCATAGAGTTTTGCTTAGGCAAGTGGTATCAAACATGTGGCTCGTGGACCAGGAATCAGTCCGTTTTAGGGCCCATGGATGTCTTAGCCACGATATGCCATGTTTTCTCAACAAGCTGACACTCATTTAATAAGAAGAAGTAATAATCTTTCTTGTTGCGCCTTCTTTGAGGCATTTTTTTTAACCTGAGCTTGTAATTTCAAAGTTAAAAAGAAATCTTCTTCCTATTAGACCAGATTTGCTTATATTGTATATAAATTAACATTGTATACATACTTTACACATTTTTTTTTTTTAGCAGTGGTGCAATAGAAACACAAATATAATAGCATCGGGTTATTAAAGGGACACTTCAAATTGGTACTTGGGGGACACCAGTGATGCAGTAATCCACAGTACTTATTGCAAACACTGAAGTTTAAGTCTGACTGTATTGACCTTTTTCTGACTGTTAAGAGTCTTTATTTATGCCTCACTGCTTCCGTCAGCTGTTATGAAATCACAGCAGTGATCTATAGACACACCTGCAGTGACTCCATCGTGTAGTGGTTACACATTCAGTCCCCAGTCCAGTCTTGGGAGGAGACACAAATTCCTTTGGGGTTGTATCAGGAAGGGCATCTGTTGTAACATAGCTGATAGGAGCTTCTTGACAACTTCATGTTTGTTTTTTCCTACCAGCAGTAATTCATATTTTGAGTTAATTGTCACAACAGTATCAGTGCAGCCATCGTTTCAGACAGCTGTCCAACAGAGGTGCTACACTTTCAAAGATCGTTTCATTCGCTCCCAGACTGGAACCTAACTCGTCTGAGGAAAGGGCTTCTCTTAGGGCAGAATGTGTGTAAGGCTTAATAATCTGTGGTATTATTTCATGGAAATTTAAACATTTGCTTAAAGATTTGTGTCGTTATGCATGTAATGGAGCACCAAACATAGGTGTACGGTGCAGATTTCAATATTAGAAAGGGTTCAAATAAGCAGTAAGGTCATAGCTTTCAGGTGCATCCGTACTATAACCTTCTCAGTGGTTGTCTTTTAACCGTTTCCCTAAATTGAGATGATAAAAAATAGTTTCTGGGACTAAATGAAACACAAATGGGGCTTAAAAATGTCTTCTGAAGAATAGCGCATATGTAAATTTAATGACCACAAACTGGGACCATCCTCTGCGTTCTTCTTTGCACATCAGTGTCAAACTTGTGAAAACTTGCTTTGGTTTGTTTTGAAGCTTGAATACGTTTACAGTGAATTGTTTCTAACATCACACATGAAAGCAGCTGCTCGTTCTCTGAGCCGGTGCCACTGTGATCACCGAGTAGAAGGCGTCTGTAGGACGTTACGCGAGCCGACTTGCAAGTTCTGAACGTAGTACTTAGTTATTACATTTCCTCTAACACAAAATGCATAGTAATATATTGTGCACTGTCCTCAGATATGCATTTCTGTGAAGTAGTTCTGTCTGTGTCACTCTGAGTGCCCCTCATCTCTCATGTTAATCTGCTGAATTGCTACAGAGCAGTCTAACCTCGGGGTCAGTCTGGCTGTGCTGACTTGGGCTAAATTTGGAACATGGAGCAATTAGGCACAGTCTCTGCTACATCACTAACTATGGAGGGGCAGCTGGGAGGGAGAGACTGGTGTGGGATGCAGATCTCCATCTGGTTAACATGCTTAAATTAGAGATTTAAAAAAAAATTGTGCTGAGCTCAACCAAAGGCAAATTTATTTCACTGAAAAAATATCAAACCAAAGCCTGACCGAGTGTTTTAAAAGTCTTTTCTGAACTAATGACTCCTGACAGTGGGTGAAGTACCGTGAACATTCACTCACCAGTTCAAACCCAGTTCTTTATTCGCTCTCATTTTATTAACCAGGCGGTTCATAACAAGAACAATAATAAAAATAAGTGACTCATCTTTACTTTCTTGCCTGGGAATAATACAGATTACAGTGTGCCCAAGCCTACGGCACCATTTGGCTGCCTTGTTTCCTCTTCTGACGTTGTCAGTCCAGTCTAGTACGCCCATCGCTTGTCATCTGTTGACTTGGTCTTTGGGACCTGAGGTGTCGCTGTTAGATATCTGGCCCACAGTTTCCATAGAGCACAGAGTGTGGGTGACCTTGGAAACAAAAGATGAGCTTCGATGGCTTGTGTCAGACATGATGAATTAAAGGGTGTGCAAAGGTCTACTATAAGTTAAATGATGATAATTTTAGTCGCGCAAAGTTGCTACACGGATGAGGATTTTTTGGACTCCTGTCTGAGTCAGAGAATAAAAAGATATCCAGATAGAAATCAGCTGGATAGTCCCAGTTTAAGAAAGGAGAAAAAAAAAAAGCCAAGGTTTTGAAATTGCTTTCAAATTCCTGCAATAAAATGCAATAAAAAAAATATCTGACGGCTTGTGTGTTCTTATCAGCTACTTTGGCAGGCAGCCAGGTATGTTGAATTCTGACATGTATACTCATACCTATAAATAAAACGGTTTCACTTCATAGTTTTCTCTTTTTATTTCCAGGGACAAGGACAGAAGCAGACCAAGCTGGGCCAGGCTAGGCCAGGCCTAGGCCTACCTAGCCATCAATCTGGCCTTACAGTAGAGGCCAGCAACCTCTCTTGGAAGTCTTTTGTTCAGGCAGCTGAGGAGGCTTCAGCCTGGTCTTACAGAGACATCCCCAGACCTAAAAATCCAACTTTGGAGTCCAGGCATCTTCTGTCATCTTTTAAGAGGCCATACTGGTCGAATAGATCTCCAGTCATTCCATGTTGCGGTCATCCCAGTCTGGTTGTTGGCAGCAGGATGGAGTTACGTGTTGATTTGACGGTTATCGTCTCACTGCAGTGCTTGCACCCCTCCTCTGTTGACTGCCTTTCATCCCTTCCCTCCCCAGTTTTTAAGAGAAAGCCCCTTCCACTCACCTGGGGCTTCCCTGAGCCCTCCACGAAAGGGCCTTGTAGAAACTGTGGGTTGTTAATTTAAAACATTGCAAAGAGGAAAACAAAAAAAAATCCAAAAGACATCAAGGATTGCTGCATTCAGTCGATTTTGTTTTTTGTTCTATTGCACATTAACTTTCCTTTTCTTGCAGTTTGATTAATGAACTAGGAGGTTGAGATCTGCGCTCAGAGTTTACAGGAATAAGTTACATAAAAGTCTTTACATAAAGATTTGCTCTTTTACAGTTTGAGCTTTTTTTTTTTTGAAAGAATGTCTGAAGAAAATAGCAGCAGCAAAGCAGTGAAATTCATTGCTCCTCTTGCCCCCGTTTCTTCTCCGTCCCCCTGCCCATCACCCCAGACCCCCCACAAGAATGTGAACGGCTCTGCCAGTTCAGACACGCATGTCGTGGAGAAGCTTCTTGGAGAGCCGGAGGTCCAACGTCGGCGCCACACAATGGATAGAGACTCTAAAACGGCCGAGCACCGTTTCTTCCGCCGGAGTGTCATTTGTGACTCGAATGCCACAGCTTTGGATCTGCCCAGCAAAGCAGCTGTGTTACTCACATCACCCCCAGACTGTGAAGGGACTCCCATCATCTTCTCTCCGCAGCTTTTAAACCTTGGAGGACAGGATTATGAAGGTGAGGAGTCCCAAAGAGGTTCCTATCTGCAGAGCAGTACCCTTCAGCCTTCATTTGGGCATGGTGGGGCAGTCGAAGAGGGGGATCTACAAAATGCCGAGGGAGATTTGGATGTGTGCACGATTGCTGTTCCTACCAGTAGCAGTGTTGAACATAGTGCAGATGGGGCAGTAACAGAGCCCAGCTCGACAGTATTGGATGTTACCAATAAAACAGTAGCCAAACAGCCTGACATCGTATTGCGTCCCAGAGGGCTTCAGGAACAGGTGGCCAAAGATGGAAAAGCAGTAGGAAATGTGTATGAGGGAAGCATCAGTAGTCCAACCGAGGAGAAAGACAGGGAGACGGAGGAGGAGAAGGGGCTCGCGAAAGCACGGGCAGAGCAGAGGGAACGGGAGCAAGAGGACATAGAGGAGGCTGAAACAAAAGCTGTAGGGACTTCACCAGATGGACGCTTCCTGAAGTTTGACATTGAGATCGGGAGAGGGTCTTTTAAGACTGTCTACAAGGGTTTGGACACTGAGACAACAGTGGAAGTGGCATGGTGTGAGCTACAGGTAAGGTTACGCTGTTAAAACTGTGCTGTCATTTCCTGTTTATTTGCCAAAGTCTCAAAAAGTTGCCATCCAGGTGCTGAATTTTACCCTTTCTATTTGTGCCTCTTGCTTATTACCTTGACAGGAAGATATAGTCTTCCTGTTTAGGCAGAGACTTTCTGTGTAATTGTGCACGAAAGGAGATCAGTCTGACTGGGACTGATGTACCAGTGCGGATTAAATGGGAACTGTTTACAACAAAATCCATCAGAGGTCCGTGTGCTATTTAAGGCAGCGACTGTGACTTTGGTAAATGGACATTTGCTGTGAGTTTGAGCGCACATTTTCTGCTTGTGTGGTTTTTAGTTTAAGTTTCACTGCATGTGGATCTGAGTGTTGAGGTACGCTGTTATCACAGTGGTCATAGTATTTGTAGCCCAAGCAGCAGAAGACGTAATGAAGATCCTCCAGTAATTGTTTTCATGAATAATGGATTCTAACTGTAAGTCATTCGTTAAAAATCCACTGCTTCTTGGACTGATTTAATGCAGCACGAGCTGTCACTCAAGGGACTGCACTGCTTGAAATTATTTAGCTGACTGGTTATAAAAAATTTTATAGTGCTGGCCTGGACATTTAGCACCTCCTTAGGCCAAAGTTGTATTGTTCTAAAGCTATTGTCTCTCATCAGCTGCAACTCTGACTTCTGTAGACATCACCTGTCGGAGGTGCACATGAGAACGCAAATGTCCCACCTACTGTAGTCAGATCAGAGATCTGCCGGTTTTTAAACCGGCGGTTCAACCCTTTGGTCCTCCAGGTTGGATGTCCAAGTATCCTTGGACAAGATGCTGAACCCCAAGTTGCCCCGGATGCATCCTTTGGATTGTAACTGCATGAACACAGAGCGCATTGCTAGGGTCTGCGATTAGAACTACTAGAAGTATTCTGCTTGGCAACGGATCTGTCTAAATAGAGGCAGGAAGAAACACTTTGCACTAGGGAGATAACAGTTTAAAGATTAAAATCTCTGTATTGACTAGGTGGGACATATACGTTCTCATGTGCACCTCTGACTGTGGATTTCTACAGAACGTAGGATATAAAATAAGTGTTTAAAAGCACTTGTATGTCTCTTGTGTATGAATGAGGATTGTAGTAAGAATTGAGTAGAAATGCACTATATAAGTACCAGTTCATTTACCATTTTAAGACATCACAGTTATATAGTTTTATATTATTAGATATATTAAGATATACCAGTGCAGTAACCTGGACAATCTTCCAAAGTTCATGTGTGAAAATGGCTTAAAATGTTATTCAGTGTTTACTGGGGCACTGCATCACAGATGGAACAAAGTGTCAAGCTGGAGCTCAGGCTCTTCGTTTTCTCTCACTCATGCATGTGTATTTTCATTATACGTGTGTCGTGGGTCTCTGGTAGTGACGGTTGACTTTCAGCTGCGAGTGAGCGGATGCTGTGGTGCGTCACATCACCACCACCGCATGTATAAATGAAAGCGGAAGAGGATACTAAGCAATATAGGCCAAAATGCAAGTGGGGTCGACTTCCTGATGACGGTGTCAAATCAGATAATGACACCTGCATGATATCTGCAGTATCAGAGATGCGGTATCCTGTCTCAACATTTGAAAAGTATTCAAAGTAGACACATAAAACTATTGCATTTTTCCTGCAGTCTGGCCAACTTTTGACAGGATGGATTGCAGCGCACCACAGGATGCTGTTGCTTCATTGTGGTGCACTGATGCAACTTCTTTATTGAGTATTTGTCTGTCACGGGGCGAGGTGTGAACAGGAGACGTGTAGGCAAAAAGTGTATCGGTTGGTGAAAGGTTGTGCAGCATCGAAGGAAAAGGTGAAAGTCTTTCAGCTTTCACTTCTTGTCGATGAGCAGGCAGAGAGATGGAGGTGCGGTGAGCTGTTGGAGATGTAGAACAACAGTCTCGGGCGGTCATATGACGTTTAGCACACTGACTGAGCCGAGGTTTCAGCGGAGGAGGAAAACAGTGACATGGACTCACGTGGAACTGCTTGCTGTGATTAAGCATTTTATACTGTGCCACAAAAACAACTTTTTCGGTTTATAAATGTATATTTCATGTTTTTCTGCAAAGTGTTTGTCATATTTAGACATTTAACACTGATATAAGGCATGGATACTGATTTTTTTTTTTAAAATTTTATAGAACCTTAAAAAGACTGAGGTCACACTGTGCAGTTGAATGTTTTCTCTGCTAAACCGCTGGTGTTTATGTTTCTCAGCATGTGCTTATTTCCTGTGGGAAGCATGTGCTTGTTTTTCTGTCATCTCCATCACAAGATGCTCCTCGAGTCTTCCTGAATCCCAGGAGCTAAAATCAGCTTTGCCTGATGCCCTGCATCTAGGAAACGGCGGTGTGTTTATCGGAAAACAAACGTCTAGCCTTTGTTGAGCTTTTTCTGTCACACATGCTTGTCTTTATCGCCGTCTCTAACTCTACTACTTGTCGAAACGGAGAAACTTGGGGATTCTTGACAGTTCTTTGTGTCTTGGAGGTCTCTGAATTGAGATTGGATTTTTAAAACTATTGCTTGGTTAGTTTGCTAAATGATCAGAATAAACTTGCTGACATTTATGTAATATATATCCTGAATTACTGGAATGCAAAATGTCGTTCATGCATTATATTCCGTGCGTGTGTTATATAAGAGTATTGAAGGACTGTGGTGATTGAGTTATATGCATGCAAAGGCAAGTACTCTTCTACATAAGAGGCTGTAATCTGGTATCACTGTGTGTCTGTGACTGAGCAACTGCTGACATGTGGCAGAAAGGTGGGAGTAGAATTACACGCACACATACACACATGCAGACACACACACACTAGAACCAATCACATTCACTCACTGGGTGGGCATGGCAACTGGAGATCTGTGGGAGTTGGCATCATCTGGAACTTGTCAGTTTTTAGCGTGGAAATATCTCTGTGTGACGTGAGTATGTCCCCCTTGCCATCCGCACCCACTTGTCACTGCAGTATGCATATGTTAGTGCGATGCACGTGTGTGTTTGTGTTTGCTTGCTTAAGAGTTGAAGGTGTGTGTCTTTCAAATTCCTGGCTTTGGATCCCAAAACAAGTTCATATTTGTGTCCAGAGAAATTTGTAGTTACATGGAAGCAGAATGGGAGATGAGAAGGGAGATGAAGCTGGTACTTTGCTTAAGCGTTTGATGAATAGCTAGAGGGGGGTGGAGAGGAAGAAGGTCATCCAGTAGCTAAGGTGCCTTATCAGAGTGTCTGTTGGAAGATGGATGGGAAAGAAGAGGCTCCTGTAGGCGTCCTGGAATGAAAGGAATTCTTGTGATCAGTTTGAACTTGGGTTACTTAAAGCTACAGATCATAATAAGCTCATGTAGTCTTGGTAAGAAAACTAATTGTAAGTTTTGGACTTTGTTTGTATCTCAGTGACTCATGAACTAGACCCGGCAGCTATGACCTAGGAGCGGACGGATTTCTTGCAATTTAATGTTGCACTTAATTTATGCATCACCCGCTATGATGCTGATTGTGAAGGCACAGACAGGACAGAGCGGCTACATATATGCAGCTCTCCACGCAGGAGGAAACGGCAGACGCAGCGAGAGATCATCGAGTTTATTTCCTTCTTAAAGCATGAAGAGAAAGCATCTTATAAATACACCAGCCAGAGAGTCACACTTGACCTTGTTCACTTGAACGCCGACTGTTATTAATGAATATAAGCCATGGCTATCAGCTCGTTAGAAGTTGAACATTTGGCTGTTACTTTTCCCAACCCTACACTTTACAAATTGGTCGTAGGTGTGAATGTGAGCACGACTGGTGGCCCGTGTCTTTGTGTTAGCCCTGTGATAGACTCGCGACCTGTTCAGGACGTACCCCGCCTCTCGTCCTATGGCAACTGGGATAGTTTCCAGCCCCCCGCCCATGACCCAAACTGGATAAGCGGAAGAGAGAGACGGGTTGTATGAGAGACCAGAGGCTGAGGGTGGGAGGAGGGGTACGAGTCAAAGTTCAGCCTGATCTTTCACAAGGGATCTTGAAGAGCCGGTTCAGCATTCGACCACCGAAGCAGTGTACTCTACCAAACTGATAGAGGGGGTTGAGCGCACAGGCGGTTTAAATCGGTTAAAATATTAAACAGAAAGATTGATAGGTGGAGTTGGAGAACTTTTGGAGGGAAGTGGGTTGGAAGACGGGAGTGGGGGAGGGGATGCTAGACGAATGGGGGTCGAGTTTGAGTAAGTGGAAGGTGATTGTGGAGGGACCCCTGTGAGAAGCTGGAGAAACTGAAAACACGGGGGAGGAAGGAGGGGAAATAGTGGGAGAGAAAAGACAAAGGAAATGAAAGGAGAGGATGATCAAGAAGGGGGAGAGGAACATAGAAACGGAGGATGAATTGAAGAGAGAAGAGGGTGTGTGACCTCAGGCTCGGGCACCATAGACTCTCAAAGACCTTCAACAGCACCACAAGGCGGATTAGCCCCCTTCCCACACAGACACACACATGCATGCTTTGGGGCTTTGCAACTGTCCTTTAAAAATGGTTATTCAATCAATGCCTTAAGATAGAGACTAGTTGCTGAGTCCAGGCAGCTTTTGCAGAAATGGAGATTACGCATCAGTTTGTTGACATCTCTCATATCATTATTTTGTATTACAAATTCACGCTTGCATGATTTTTATTAGCAGAACTATCATGACATTGACAAAATGAGGCTAACAACATATGCTTCAAGGTGTCCGATTTTAGCACGGCAGAGCACTATTGTTGACCCATTTTAACCTGGTGTTGGTCTGAAATACTTCCATGTGCAGGTAGAAGGACAGAGCGAAGAGGACATCGGGCATTTAAAAAGTATTATGTCTGCAAAGCAGTTTCACTAACAGTGCGTTCTCCCTATCTTTATGAACATTGCTAGGCTTCACCTACACAAGCAACTGCCAGGATTTGTTTTTTATTAAATGAAAAAAAAC